TAAAAATTAAATCTTTATAATAAAGAAAAAAAATCAGTGATATAGACCTTAAAATGATAACCTGGAAAGAACACTTTGCATTGGATTACATGGTCAAATTGTCTTATTCATCATGTAAAATCTGCCCTGTATCAAACAATAGTTATTTAAAATATTAACTCATTTATTATGTATAACAGTTATAAGAGGTAATTCATTTATTATTATTGTACATTTCTTACAGCTCAAGAAAATAGAAGTTCAAGCCTTCCCATAGATTGTCTGGTATCATATGACTAAAATACAGTGGAACATGAATTTAAACATAGATGGTTTGGCTATAGAGTATACATGCTCAACCACAATGCAATGGGGGGTCTCTTCTCTCTTGCCTTCATCAGAATGTAGCAAATGCTAACTACAATTAAAACCTGCTAGGTTATTTAAAGACAAAACATAATGGAAGCAAAAGAGATCTGCAAGTATATTTGGGCATTGTCTTTATACAAAGATCTGAAAGATTAAGAGTCAAATGAATTATTTATATTTACGCTGAGAGATAATTGTGATTCAAGAAAAAGAGACTGTTAGATGGTGTTAAAATGTGAATCAAATAAATGTATGGTCATGTAACAGGTTAGATGAAATTTCAACAACGGTTATACATTACAGAAATGGAGGAAACAATTTGACTCATTTTATTGGCCTTATTATTATTCTAAATTACAGAGAACTTGATGAGAAAAATTTATAAGTCCAATGATTATATCAAAAGATATCACAGAGGAAGCAGTCAAATGGAGGAAGATGGAAAACATCATGCTGAGTGAATTAAGCCAGTCCCAAAGGGACAAATATATGTTCTCCCTGATCGGTGACAACTAACCAACAACAAAAAAGGACACTTTATGTTCTGTGTGGATGCAAACTGATGAAATCTTTACTTAATATATACTAAATTGATCTTCTGTATATAAAGATAATTGAAAATGAATTTTGATGTGAATGGAATGGGAGAGGGAGTGGGAGATGGGAGGGGTGCGGGTGGGAGAGAAGTTATGGGGGGGAAACCAATGTAATCCATAAACTGTACTTTGTAAAATTGTATTTACTAAATAAAAGTTAAAGAAAAGAAAAAAAAGTAGCTAATGTTGGAGTCTTCCAGCTTGGGTGTTGAGTGTCATTTAACTCTGCCTATCTCAAAATTTGTTCTATCAGACATTTACTTATATTTTTTTTTTTTCTGGAATGTGTTATTCTATGTATATAAAACTACTCTGTGAATGCTGCCTTATTTTTTTTTCTTTTATTTATTCCTCTTACACATTCTTTACTTATACACCAAAGCCCTTTTTGATATTAATTATATCCTATCACCTCCAGTATTATTACAATATAATATATATGTATGTATATATATTCTCCCATTAAATGCTATAAGAATAAAATGCTCATAATTTAATGGCAAAATTTTGTATCTTAATATAATTCTAGTTTAGGGTAGTCGCTTGAATATTTTACTTTTAACAGTACTTTGTGTTGGTGTTATCCCTGGATAAAAACTGTTTAAGGTCCATAGTACGTCTTCTAGAAATATTTTTTTCGTTTTTTGACAAAATATTCTTAAGATGCTCCAAATGATAAAATAAAAATCTATTTTAATGCCTTGAGCAAAATGATTTATCATAACAAAATAATCTTGAAATATAGAAGCCCTTGTTTTAGCAGAATAATAGCTTCTAAAGATGTTCAAATTCTTATTTCCAGAACTTATCAATATCTGATCTTCCATGTCTAAAACAAAAAAACTTGATTGGATGATTATATTCAGTATTTTTCTATTTGGATGTATTCCTTGATTATCTTGGTGGACCCATCTAACCAAATGGTTCAATGAAACTGATAAACTGTCCTGCCAGTAGACAGAAATGAACAGTGGTCAGAGAGATGTTATGTTTCCAATTTCGAAGGCATACGAAAATAAAAAGCCAAGAAATGTGATTTGGCACTGGAGTTTGAAAAAGCCTAGATATAGATTTTTTTCCCCTAGACCTACAAAAGAAATAATTCTGGTAAAGATTTGGCTTTAGCCCAGAGAATAACATCAGATTTCTGATCTATATGACTGTAAAATAATAGATTTATATTTGTGGAAAAAAATTTTGTAATTATTTGTTAGTATAGTAATGCAAGTCTAATGCAGCTGAAATATCAATAAAATTTTTGCCAAACAAATTTTTATGCAGTGTGATTTCTATTATACATTATTTTTAAATCATGCCATTATTTCAAAGTCTATGATACTTAAGCTTCTATATGGTCTCATCAAATTATACCATCCATGCTATGGAGTAGAGTCAGCTTTGGAGTTTTTAATAACAATTGATGCATTTTTCCATATTTTGCATAAGATAGTAAATTGTATGGGAATAGTTTTCCATGTATTTCCCTGAGCATGTTCCTGAAATATCTGTCTCTTTCTCTTTTCTATCTAGCTATCTATGTATCATCTCTAATTTCTCTGTCCTTCTCTCAATCTGTCTTCTATTTATCTTGCATCCAATTTCTATGCATTAATTTCCATTAATATACTTATATATAATACACTTATATACTTAATATACTTATAATATCTTAATGTATGTGCAATTTTGAAGATTTGAATCTACCCACATTTTAACTGAAAACAATTATGTCTACCCTGTAAATATTTCTAGTGTCAAAACTGATTTATTATCATTTATATCATTACCTTCAGGTAAAAGTATACAAATCCCTGTCTGTTTCATTTACGATATAGCTGCACTTTATTACTAGGTTTCAGATTCTGAAATAAGTCACTGAATATAATTTCTTTTCTCTGGTAAAATTACAGTTTTTATGACTAAACAAAGTGACACAAGACTGACTGACTACTTCTTGTTAATGATTATGTCATCTCATGAATCTCCATTACAAGTGTTGACTCTTAGAAAGCGAAACTGACCAGCTGCTTTTCCCACGTTTCTAGCTTTCATTTTCTCTGTATGGCTATGTCACAAAGTCCTCTGTTCCCTTGCCTCTTTTCCCTTCTATCTATTGAAATTTCAGTCTTTCAAATCAATATAATTTACATAATTTAGATGATTTTATTCTCATTGAAAACTACATCAGAACTAATCTAGATAAAATATTAAACAGATACAAAATGAATTATTTTAGCTTGTAGAAATATATTTAGAACTTTTTTTACATTTGTATTAACTTCTGCCTATTGGAGTAAAAAGAAATTAATTTCTTATAGTTTTAAATAAATATTAGTATACTTATATTACAGTGTATTTATGGATACAAAAGAGAAAAATAAATCAGATTCCAAAATCGTACTTAAATATTTAATATTATATTTTTAAAATTTATAAACAATGAAACTTAAAATGTATTTTTTATCTTTATAACACAAGCTGAAACATATCCAGCTACTTAACTACTTATCCATCAATATGTTGGAGAGTGTCCATTAGTGACCAGGAATGCAGATCCCAAATTCACAATATTAGCTAATAATCTTGGCCCTTATCCTGCCTGGCTCTTTGAGGTAGAAGACGTTTTTACGTGTTATCTCCGTACCTTGGTAACTTGCTCAGTTACTAGAATTAAAATGGATGTGTACAACAAAATACTCAGAAAAACATAAACATACAGAAAGAAAATATTATGATCTGTTCTATAATAAGAAAAGGTGAAATAGAAAGTGGAATAGATATCAATGATGACCCATTGATAGTGAATAGCTCTGAAAGATTTTAAGCAATGGTTTTTGCACTAGGATGGCATATAAACAAGTATGATGTGGCACAATGCATTAACCTGCCTCAGTATCAAAATAACTATTACTGTGCTATTTACCATCAATAAAGAAACACAAAAAGTCCCTATAAATAGTGAAAATTCAAAACCTGTCCAGTTACAAATTGCTTTTATATTGATGCCACCTTTAGGGAGACATTTCAAATTGAAATTCCTGCTTTTGATCACCTTGACATTGTTCATTGGAATGTACAAGAGAAATTGCTTATCAAAGACACATAAAACTTCTTAAACGATTGGAATTTAAAACCCATCCCTGGAGCATGTCTTAATATTGAAACAATTTCATAGTCAGGGTTTGAATCTAAGTCCTCATGGATTTTAAATGGGAATTGTTTTCACATGGCTTACACAAAAAAGGAGGACTAAATACAATCCTATGCTATTATTTTGATGTAGTGTGAAATTCAAGTTTTTCAAGGAAAATCATAATATATTATGTACTTATGGTCATGTTTTCTGATAAACTTTGTTTCCATCTCAATTCTCAACTTTTTGCAAAGATTAATTAAATTATGAAATATTGTTACATTTTAGAACTCATAAAATACCAGTGCCCGTTCTGTGGCATAGCTGATAAAGCCATCATCTGCAGTGCCAGCATCACATATGGGCACTGATTGGAGTCCCAGCTGTTCCACTTCCCATCCAGCTTCCTGGTAATGTGCTTGGGAAAACAGCAGAAGATGGCCCAAGTTCTTGGGTCCTTATACCTACGTGGGAAACCCGGAAGAAGCTCCTGGCTCCTGGTTTTGGATCTGCCCAACTCCAGCCATTGTGGCCATTTGGTTAATGAAGCAGTAAATGGAAGATCTTTCCCTCTCTCTCTCTCTGTCTCTCTCTTTGTAATTCTTCCTTTCAAATAAATAAATAAATAAAAGAAGAAATCATAAAATGCTGACAAATGGAATTAATCATTTTGTAGACATGAAAATGCTGCTACAGCAATACTTATCTTTTTTTTATTTGAAAATTTATGTGACATATTCTTTTGTTAATATGTAGCGCATTTACATAAAGCATAATAATTCGTATATATAGCAAGAAAATATTAACATACTAAACTAATATTTAACATATTTTCTAAGTTTATAGTGCTTAACACCTAAATGATGAGACTGAATAAAATATCAGGAATTTAGGTTACAGCTAGCTATGAATATGTTTCTCAGTTTTATTTCATTCAATCTAGGTTCAAAGTTTTGGGTAGACAATGTTTGTTTGATTTCTTTTTGTAGGGAAATATCCTGCAGCATTGCTGTCCCACACCACTACAATCAATTCAAAAAATAAGTATTAACTCAACTAGCATTTTTTTAAAGCAGAGGCAGAGAGAGAGTGAGAGGACTTTCACCTGTTGGTTTACTCCCCAGCTGTCCACAATGTCAGGAGCTGTGCCTATGGGAAACCAGGAGCCAGGAACTTCTTCCGGTTCTCCCAGGCAGGTGCAGGGGCCCAAGGACTTGGGCCATCTTCCATTGATTTCCCAGGCCATAGCAGTGAGCTGGATCGGAAGTGGAGCAGCCTTGATTCAAACTGGCGCTTACATGGGATGCTTGCACTGCAGGCAGCAGCTTTAACTGTTATGGCACAGTGCTGGCCCCTCAAATGGCATTAAATGTGCAAGAGACAAGCATATCTTCATGGCTGATATAAATGGAATTAGTACCCTACTATGAAAAGACAGATAAAGAAAATCATATCATTCCTTAATACATTTTATAAAATGAACATTATAGAATGACAAGGAATATCAACTTTGGTTAGGGTAAGTTAGGATAATTTAAAGGAGAGCTTTTCTGTAATGAGATAGCCAAAACACAGTCCAAAAAAGGAACAAGGAAACCAAACCAATATCTGGGCTGGAATGTAGCCCATGAAACAGAATGAGCTATGAACTGCTCAGAGAGACTGATGTGAATCCTCTGCCTAGCATCAGAAATACACATAACATGTGCTCTCAACTGTTAGAAGACAGTCATGAGAAGCCGGTGAGCAAGTGTGTTACTTGATTTTATTTACTTTCTATGAAAATCCTTGTGACAACTTGTTAGGATATTCTATAACATGTAGGGAGGTAAGAGGGTGGGAAGGATTCCAGTAAGAGACTATTGCAGAATCCAGGAGAGAGAAAGTACTAGTAGATCTAAGAATTGAAGCATTAACCCAGAATATCCTGTGAAAAATAAAGTAGAGATGTTTCCAGTGCTAATGAGAAAAACCTTTCACTCTTGTTTCTGATTCAGATGTTTATTCTTCTGAATGGCCAATACAATCTCATGGTTGGGCTTCTAAGAAGCAGCTTGTAGCACTGTAGAAGAGATTTTAGAAGAGTACATATTAGATATGCACCTCCAATGAAATTACCAAAATTTGTCTACAAAAGACAACTTTTAACTATTAAAATGTTAATGTCTGTCAAGTTACTCCATGTTCTAAAAATATTCAATTCTGACTGTACACAGTTGTCATTACTTACTTGTAACTTCTGTTGTAGATCCAGGAACATATATGGGTCAGGTTAAGATTGCATAGTGAGACACGATTACTTCAAACAATGACCTTGCCATTTGACAACTGGTTTAAATTCAGTGTGCCACTTGAACTCTTTAGTCTCTTAAGCTTCTGTTTTCTCACCTATAAGAAGATGATAATAGTATCTCCTCAGAGGGTTGCAAGAGGGTTAAATTCATTGGTTAATAACTTATAGGGATGACTTCATGCTAGTAGTAATACCATTACATACATTTTTAAAAAGAGTTAACACAGAGAGAGAAGGAGAGAGAGAGAGAGAGAGAGAGAGAGAGAGAGAAAGAGAGAATCTTCCATCCACTGGTTCACTCCCCAAATGGCTGCAACAGCTGGAGATGAGCCAAATTGATGCCAGGATCCAGGAGCTTCCTCTGGATCTTCCCATGTGTGTGCAGGGGCCCAAGGACTTGGGCTATCTTCCACAGCTTTCCCAGACCATAGCAGAGAACTGGATCAGAAGTGGAGCAGCCAAGATTCGAACTGGAGCCTATATGGGATGCTGGCACTGCAGGCAGAGACTTTACTCGCTATGCCATAGCACCAGCCCCCTACATGTTTTTATATCATTCATACTCCTTATGTCTATATGACATAGAAATTATTTTCCTACATATAAAAATACTTATCTAAAATAGCACAGGAAGCACATCTACTCCTGGGATAAATCTTTTCATAAAGGTTTAAAACAGAGATGCTTTTAATCATCTCACTTGTGGTGGAATGAGAAGGCCATGCCAAGGTGGCCACTGGCAAGCGAGCCATCAGTTACTCAGGAATGGCTTTGGAAACTGCCTGGCAACAGGCTGTGACTGGATGGCTTTGGAAACTGCCTGGCAACAGGCTGTGATTGGTTGGGGCATAGACCACCCCTAGACCAGCTTGGCTGGTCTTGGCTATATAAGATGTGGTCAACTGAAATAAATGAGTCTGCAGGCTGCTCGCCTCAAGCCTACTTTCACACGACTCCCGGGGTTTGTGTGGTGACTCCACGCCTCTTGCCCCCACCACGCTGCTCCTCTCAGAAACGAATCCACTGCAACACTCACTGGTATTTTATGGTTAAATAGTTTTCTATTCCTTCTTTGGAAAATTTCCACAAAACTTATTGTAGGGGCTGACGCTGTGGCAAAGTGGGTGAAGCTACTGCCTGCCGTGCCGGCATCCCATATGGGCTCTGGTTTGAGTCCTGGCTGCTCCACTTCTGATCCAGCTCTCTGCTATGGCCTAGGAAACCAGTAGAAGATGGCCCAGATCCTTTGGCCCCTTCACCCATGTGGGAGACCCAGAAAAAGCTCCTGGTTCTGGCTTTGTTCAGATCAACTCAGCTCAGGCAGTTACAGACCATTTGGGAGTGAACCAGTGGATGGAAAACCTCTCTCTCTTTCTCTCCCTCTCTCTCTATAACTCCATCTTTCAAATAAAATAAATGATAAGAAACTTATTGCATCAAAGAATATGATTTTTTTTTTCTTATGGTTTCATGGAAATGCAATGTGGATCTCATTGGATCAATTTCAAGGTGTTGTTACTAAGGCTATACCCAATTTGGAGTCTCTAAGGAAAATTTTATTTTCTAGTCTTTTCCAATGTCAAGAGTGATCCACATTCTTAGAGTTGTGACTCCTTTCGTTTTCAAAGTCAGAAGTGTTGCATTTTTATCCATTTTTCCTGTATAGATACTTCTGTTCTGATTTTTCTCCCTCCTCCTTCCACATTTGAAGAAGTTTGTGATGGCAATGGGCCTAACCACATGACCTAGAATAATCTCATTTTAACATCAGTCTATTAGAAATCTCAATCCCATCTGCAACCTTAAGTCTATTTTGATGTATAACCTAATTCATTCTCAGATTCTGGAAATTAGGACATGGACATATGTAGGAAGCCATTATAATAAAATGTCTGTGTCAATGTGCAGTGTTCTTTGTTAATAATACTCCCTTTACGTGATAGTTCCTTCTGCCACTTAAAACGTCACTTTGATTCTATTTGTTTTTGAAAAGATGATGAGAAATGTCTTTGTGAAACACAAGGTATGTGATAAATTGTTATTAAAATGATACTTTGACACATAAATTATGAGTTAGTAACAAGCAACTAAAGCTGCAGACTTTAAATTTAAATCCAGGGGATGGGTGTTCAGCCTAGAGGTTAAAATGCCTTACAAAACGCTGAAGTAATTCGGTTTAATTTCTGGCACACCACTGGGGCATCAGTATTGTCTACATAATTAAGCACCTGCCATCTTTGTTGTAGACCTGGATTGAGTTCCCCAGTCCTGGCTTTCACCTCTGCCCAGCACCAGGACACTGCAGACATTCAGAGTGTACACCCGTAAAATGGAATGTTCTCTCTGGATATCGCTCTTCCTCACAAACTGTCTGCTATTATTTCTTTTTGGTTATACACTATTAAATGTGATATCATTTAAATTATATATTGAGCACAACACTCCAACAAAAAGAAGAAAAAGATGAATTTTCTTCCCTGGAAACATCTATATAACTTGTTTTTTTTTGTTTGTTGTTTTTTGTTTTTTTGTTTTTTGTTTTTTTTGTTTTTATGTTTTTGACAGGCAGAGTTAAACAGTGAGAGAGAGAGACAGAGAGAAAAGTCTTCCTTTTCCGTTGGTTCAACCCCCAATGGCTGCTCCGGCACACCGCGCTGATCCAAAGCCAGGAGCCAGGTGCTTCCTGGACCCAAGCACTTGGGCCATCCTCCACTGCACTCCCGGGCCACAGCAGAGAGGTGGACTGGAAGAGGAGCAACCGGGACAGAATCTGGAACCCCGACCAGGACTAGAACCCAGGGTGCCGGTGCCGCAGGCGGAGGATTAACCTATTGAGCCGCGGCGCTGGCCTATATAACTTGTTTTGACCAGAGTTGAAATTTTCACTTATGGTTTCCTGCTCAGGATTTTGTTCCATTATTTTAGCACTGTAGTTTACAAAATCCCATTTTTTAAATATTATTTTTATTTTTTTTTTTTTAATTTGTAAGGCAGAGTGACAGAGAGAGAGAGAGAGTGAGTTCATTCCGCAAATGGCCAACACAGGGTCAGGCTGAACCCAAGAGACAAGAGTACCATTGGATTCTCCCACATGGGTGGTAGGGACCGAAACACTTGGGCTGTCTTCTGTTTCTTTCCAAGGTATATTGGAAGGGAGGTGGATTAGAAGTGGAGCAGCTGAGATGTGAACTGGCAGGCAGTGCCTTAAAGACCAGCTGCTTCACAATGCTGACCCCTTAACTGAAAAATCTTTACTCCAAACTTAAATCATATTGAATTATCTTCAACATTATCTATCTGGTATGGTATACAATTCTCAGTAGTCAATGGTTGGATGTGTGGATATAAGTAAAGAACAAAACAAAAGTTCATTTTCCTGGAATGTTAATTTTGCACTAAGTTTTGGCAAAATACAGCCTTGATGTTAAGATTTAAGACCTGTTTCAACAAGTACAGTATGATACTTAATATGTTTTCATGATACAATTGTAACTCTGAGAACAATGTCTGATTATATGTTTAAACTTTCCTATTAATAGAGTATATCTGACAAGGGCTAAAAATCAACAAGGAAACCTAAATGAGCCAAAAGCTGATAAAGTATAAAATATGAATATAAACTGCTTAAAGTGATAAGTAATAGTGAAATCAATCAAGATTTAGGGTGCCAGAGAAGGAAGCCAATTATCTGCAACCTGATAGTCCCTGGCTATTTCACCTAACTGGCTGTTCACACAAGGCTAATATTTTGGATTTCAGCAAAGCAGAGACTCATTCCTGTGGTGTCAGACAAAACTAGAAAAATTTTTGAAGTTTTGTAAAATTAAAATACTTTCTTTCCAAAATATTGCTAAATCTACAGCCAAGAGGTCTAAAAGGTAAGTGGGTAGAAATTGGCAGTTTTACAGCACTGAGGAGAATAAAATTAGAATTAGGTACAGCTCCAGGAGACCATTACACATGAATCCACTCAGATGTCAGCTAGGATTTCTGTCTAGTATCCATCCAGCCTTCACTCCTCCTGTCACTAACTTGCTTAAGATAAAAAGCTCGCAAATATCTCTTTTTAGTAACTAATTTAAGAACCATTTCTGGAGAAGGTTTGCTTCTGCTAGGATACAATAAAAAAAATTCCAACAAACAGGGCCACATGAACATAAAATAAAGGACAATTAAAATTTCCAAAGTACAGTTTATGGATTACAATGGCTTTCCCCCCATAACTTCCCTCCCACTCTCACCCCTCCCATCTCCTGCTCCCTCTCCCATTCCATTCACATCAAGATTCATTTTCAATTATCTTTATATAGAGAAGATTGATTTAGTATATATTAAGTAAAGATTTCACCAGTTTGCACCCATACAGAACATAAAGTGTAAAATACTGTTTCAGTACTAGTTATAGCATTACTTCACATTGGACAACACATTAAGGACAGAGATCCTACATGAGGAGTAAGTACACAGTGACTCCTGTTGTTGACTTAACAATTTGACATTCTTGTTTATGTCATCAGTAGTCTCCCTAGGCTCTAGTCATGAGTTTCCAAGGCTATGGAAGCCTTTTGAGAAGTGTACCTCCTTCTTTGATGACCCGTTCCTTCTACTGGGATCTCACTCGCAGAGATCTTTCATTTAGGTCCTTTTTTTTTTTTATGTTTGTGACTCGAAGTGGTCATGGTAATATTGTTTTGGTGTTTTTTCCCCCAAAATAGTGAGCAGTTCCTAATAAATATTTCAAAAAAAAATTACATAGTGTTTATAATACTGGAGATTTAGGGACCAGGATTGTGGCATAGTGGGTAAAGTGGCCGCATGCAATGCTGGCATCCCATATGTGTACCAGTTCATGTACACGCTGCTCCACTTCCAAACCAGCTCCCTGCTATTGGCCTAGGAAAAGCAGGAGAATATGGCCCAAGTTCTTGTGTTCCTGTACCCACTTGAGGACCAGGAGGAAGCTCCTGGTTCTTGGTTCTGGCCTTTCTCTGCCCTGGCTATTGAGGCCATCTGGGGAGTGAATCAGTGGGTGGAAAATTTCTCGCTTTTTTTGTCTCTCTCTGTTTGAAACTCCAAGTTTCAAATAAACAAATAA